CGCCTTAGACCACTCGGCCAAACTGTCTTGATGGTGCATGTTGCATGTATCATGATATAAAATTCTTTCCCTTTCACGTTTGACAAAAAGCTAGCTATTGTTGTGCCGAGATATAAGGAATGATTTACTGTGTTGGTCTAAGGAATTAGAATAGTTATAGCATGGATCAGGGTCATTGTAGCAAGATACAGCCAAAATATTCCAATTTCGTTTCAACATAAATTTATTTCTCTTTTCTTATTTGTACAAATATTCATCATTTGATAATTGATTAAGGAGGTGTTTAGTAAATGGTTGTTAGCTGATTGAGTTAGTGAGTTTGACTAGTTGATAGCATTAGTTGATTGTAGAAAAGTGTTTGGTAAATTAATTGTTACCTGATAACTGATTATATACAAAATGACTTTATCAAAAAATTGATCGAAAAATCTACTTTGATACGCTTTTTGAATTTTAGCATTTTAGAGCAATAAGTTATTACCAAAAAAAATTAATTAACCAAATACTCATACTGATTGTTTAACTAAGTCAAACAGCTAATAGTGGTCAAATAAACTAAAATTGGCTGATATGCTAACTATTTTACCAAACATGACCTAAATACGGATATAATTTTACATGTTAGGTTATATTTATCCTGTAGTACTCTTTCATTTTTGAAAGTAAGTTTTCTTGTTACATCATCATATTTGTAATCCGCTTACTATTTTTTTTTTTTTAATTAAATCTCTAATCTAAAAATATATCTCACTTTCAATAATAATAGTATGAAAAAAAGAATCAAATAGACCATCGAATTATTAGTGTGTGCAATTGGACCGTTGAACAAAAAAAGTGTGCGATTAAATCATTTAACTCTATAAATTTGTGCAAATAGGATTTTTACCAGGTTAATCAGGTAAAATAAATGACATCTTATGTGGAATTTTTTTAATATTTAAATCATTAGGAGTATAATATTCAACTCTACCTAAAACAACTCCAATCTTTTTCATCGTTAACCTTTGTGTTGGAATTTTTAGCATAAAATAGTTATTTTGAGTAATTATTTTGTGGTACAAATATATGTGGGATCTAATTTCAATTTGAGTCGGGTCAAAATAGATTTGTACTCTTTGTAATGAGACGAACAAATTAATATATTATACACTCAAAATGAATAATAGATGAATGAGAAATTGATTTTCAAACTGAACTTATGAGAGAAGTCTAAAATTCGAATCGTACTAAGTGTAAGCACTCACGAATGGTAATTAAGCATAATGGTGCTTAATTAAGCACTTTGGTGCTTCAAATTTGAAAGGTTTATAATTAAAAGCTTTTGATTTGCACTTACGATCAATGAACTTCAATGGGTAAGTACCATCAATGAACCCATTAAATTATGACTATCAAAAAAAGAAACAATTTAAACTTTCCAAAATAAGGAGTTCTTGTAGATCAGTTTAATACCAATAAATTTGTGAGGGGTGGACAAAGAATTCACAATCGATGTGATCGAAGAGATAACAATATTAGAAATGGTTAGTAATTTGAAAATTTTTTAGCTTAACTGATACCAGATGAAAACTAATAGAATTGTATTAAGTCATGTGATTACAACTGTACATATTACATGTATATATAAGGAGAGAGTCTCAGTGAAACTGGAATAATTGTCATAATCTAACTCAATTAGAGTTAATACCAAAAATCGTCCTCGACTATAGTGGTTTTTCTCAATTTCGTCCTAAACGACTTTGGTGACCTAATATCGTCCCAGACTTTTGTGTTTCGCTCAATTTAGTCCTCCATTTGTTATTCCGTCAAATTGGTGTTAAATTAAGGGACAATTCAGTAATGTCAATATTGATCTCTCTTTACTTTCAACTTGTGAAGTGCGAAATTCCTCTTTCTTGTACGAATTACACCAGAATTACTCTCGGACCTGCAAATCAAATTTTATATTCGCAATTTTAGGAGTAATTCGTAAAAAAAAAAAAAAAAAAAAAGGGATTTCGCAGTTCACATGTCTATGAGTAAAGAGATGCCAATATTAAAATTACTGAATTGTCTATTTATTTAACATATGGACATAATAACAAATGTGGGATTAAATTGAGCAAAAACACAAAAGTCTGGGACTAAATTGAGTGAAACACAAAAGTCTGGGACGATATTAGGTCATCAAAGTCGTTTAGGACGAAATTGAGAAAAATCACTATAGTCGAGGACGATTTTGGGTATTAACTCAACTCAAATATATAGTTCTAATATGATTCAAAAGAAAGAAGAATTTATCTTCTTGGGCCTTCATATGATCATAATTGAAGTTCAAGTTAGTACTCTTTGCCGTCTTTGGGCACTAGTGTGGAATTCAAATAAATACATAACATGATAACTGCGCGCGCACACACACACACACACACACACACACACACATATATATATATATATATATATATATATTTGGTGTTTCTGTTTAACGATCCAGGTCCACCTGACTAATCCCTGTTCGCTTCAAGAGGCAGGGGAGCTGGCTCAAAGGGAATCATCACACCCGAGTTATCCCATAATTCTCCCCCACAAAGAGAGCTCATATGTCACTTAAACTACCGTGTTGGATTATACACAAGTTATTAATTGTAGGTACAAAATATGTTAATTGAAGACACTAAAAATATTGGTCAACATGTTATGTGTATGTAGTTAACATATTATGTACTTGCAATTAATAATTTATGTGTCTGTAATTATTACGTAGTATTTGTTTACTGTTGCAGAAATGGTTAACTATATGTACAAGATTTGCCAATTGCAAATATAGAATCTGAATGATATTTTTAGATCAGGGTCCACAATGTAAGGTAGACCCATGTCCATAGTATAATTTGCCTTATTTATCTTGCAAGTTGTATTTTGGTCCAAATTTTTTTGAAAAAAAATAGTCAAATTGCCCCCTAAGTCAATCGGATAATGCAATTGGACCCCTAAGTTAAAAAAAGCTCCATTTAAATCTCCTAAATTGATAAATTTATTGAATTAAATTTGAATTGACTTGTTTAACAGGTTAACTCATCATAGATTTGACACGTCTTTTTAAAAAAAATTAAAAAAAAACTTGTTATTTATTTAAGAAATAATTTAAAAAAAAAAAAAGAAGAAGAAGAAATACAACAACCTATTTTTTTAAATAGCAATGATTGTCACCAGTTGTCATTCTTGGACATCCGGTGGCTGTATTCCTCCTTTATTATTTTTTTTTTTGTATTTCTTAAATAAATAACATGTTAAAAAAAAAAAAAAAAAGACACGTGTCAAACCTACGCCGAGTTAACTTTCTAAACAAGTTAATTTGAACTTAATTAAACAATTTTACTAGTTTAGGGGATTTAAATGAAGTTTGTTTACTTAGGGGACTCACTTGCACTATTCGGTTAATTTAGGGAGCCAATTTAATCTTTTTCGTATATTATTTCTTTAAAATAAGTCAATTACTTAAAAATAAATAAATAAAATTATTTAAAAAGAAAGTACAAATAATTAAAATTTTAAACAAGATTACAAAAAAAAATTATTTAAAATAATTCAATTCCATAAAAGTAAAGAAATAAAATTAATCAAAACAAAATACAAATAAAGAAAATAACAACAACAACAACAACAACAACAACAATAACAACAACAATAATAATAATAATAATAATAATAATAATAATAATATTATTATTATTATTATTATTATAAGAAAAGTACCCCCCTAAAAAAAAAAAAAAAGAAGAAGAAGCTGAGGATTGACCACCATTTTTGTACGTTCCAAACTTACGAAAATGAAAATTTGCAACACAAGTCTAAAAAAACCACATTAACTTGCAACTTGCAAGGATGTACATTATAGGGATGGAGCAGCCTAAACACTAATTGTTATATCCTGCACTAAGACGCATAATGCATTGTGCACCCTAAAAATTTCATGTTTCGTATGTACATAATTGTATAGTAAAATACACATAAACTCCTAACATAATACATATAAACTATTAATATAATACACATAAATTCTTAACGTAATACACATAAACTCTTAGAGCGCACAATGCATTGTGCACCCTGGTACACGATATAATTTGCGGCCTTAACACCTATCTTCAAAGTCTTTCTGCACGGATACAGCAACAAGTGGCAATTGATTGTATTTATTTTGATGAAGTTGAAACTACATACAATTACATGTGTTTTGCACATTTATTGCAATTGATATAACATAAATTCATCTCATATTGCTATCACCACTACAAATGAATGTACTTAGCCTATCTTATCCCTACATTTCTCTCTAATTTTAAAGTTGACTCTATTGTTATATAATACTCCGTACTCCGTACTCCGTACACCGTAACATTTATAATTCAACATCTTTTTTTTTTCAGAGTATATATCTTTAAAATTTCAACTCATTTTTAAAATATAATATACTTTGTAATAATATTAAACAAATTTTCTTATAGGACAGTCACACTGGTCTCAATCTGTAAGATATGTCGGGTCAAAAAAATTAGGTCTTATTGTACATGAGTTTTTTTTTTTTTTTTTTTTTGAAAGCTATTGGTTCTATTACATTGTAGTATCTGTTCATATACTTTCTCAACCTACTGAAACACAAAGAACCAATAACGCCTCCACTGAGGCTCGAACTCATAATCTTCCAAATGGAAGTCCAACCCGGATACCATTAGACCACATAGTCCTGGTTATTGTACATGAGTTTAGTAATATTATTTCTCTCAAACTGTCTATTACATTTTAGACATAAAATATTGTTTGTCAAGTACCTTGTGATTTGATGATATCACTATTATCATGTCACAAGCTTAAATCTCACCCCGATTTAAGAATTATTGGCATATTATATGGAGCAGTTGAAGTAGGATAAGTGATTTTTATTTATTTTTTATTTATTGAAATGGATAGATTATAGACAGTATAGTATGGAAAAATAAGAAACAAGTAGCAAGAGCATATATAGAAATTGCCTTAATTTCCAAATATTCAACAAACGGAAAGTGCACTCATTAACAACAATGAAACATCTTCACCTAAAACCAGAATGGGAAAATATGAGACACTTGCCATTGGGGATGATATTTTTGGTTGCCTTACAAAAAAATGCAGAAATAATAATAATAAAAATTATAATAAGTATAACAATAATAAGCTAAGCACAATTTTGAGAGGGTTCCTGCGCCCTCAGAGAGGCAGATCAATCAGCCAATACATTTAGGTAAGCATCGCGGCAGAACTCCAGCCTTAGAGGGTTCGCACGATGAAAAGAAGTCTGGATTGCGCTTGAGTGACTCTGCATAACTTTCAAGAATTGTTACGATTGTTTCAAAGTGTGGCCGTTTTTGAGGATTGCTTGCCCAACAGCGATTAACGAGTTTCTGGAATGCCTTGGGGCATTCAGAAGGTAGCGGTGGTCTTGCATTCTGAAAAGAAAAAACATACACAAATCTCAGATGCTGTGATCCAGTAATGACAATATAATCTCTCGAAAGTTATGAAGCTGAATTGTAAAGGCAACTTATAGATCACTTGGTTAATCGTAATGCATTTTTGATATTCTAAAACTCACGAGAATGGTGAAATGAATACCTTTTGGCAGACAGCAAATGCTGCCTGTTCTGGGGTCATGTTGTCGAATGGTGTTAATGCAGTTAATAGCTCCCAGAGAACGATGCCGAAACTGTAAACATCAACTTTTTTCGTGTGGTGTTTTTCCTTGATCATTTCCGGTGCCATCCAACGGTAAGTGCCCGTGAACCCCTTCGCACTACCACATTGGGATTCTAAGCATGATATCCCAAAATCAGCCACTTTTACACACATATCTTCATCGAGCAGTAGATTTTCTGATTTGAGATCTCTGTGAAGTATCCCCTGAGCATGGAGATACTGCATTCCACGTGCAATGTCGAGGGCCAATTTCAGCACCAGGTTGAGAGGGACCGAGTATGGCTCCTGCTGATGGAGGTACTTTCTCAGGGAGCCTCCAGGTAGATACTCGGTGATTATGCAAAATACGGGGGGTTTCTTACATGCCGCAATAAACTGCACACAAGAAGAAGAAATCAAGAAAGTGAACGAAGTCGGCAAACACCACGACACAAGTTTAACACTGTATTGAAAGCATAATTTCTGCAAGGATCAGGTCAGATGCTAATATGCTATAACTATTTGCATTCATTTATGAATCCAGATAGGAATGTGTTGTTCAATGTTTGAACAGATACTACAATGTAATAGAGTCAGTAGCATTCAAAAAAAAAAAGAATATCCGTGCATTGCAGACACCTACCACTAAACCAAAATTTTTCGCAGCTAAAGTTTGATCCTTTGAAGTGACCCAAGAAATTCACTTTAGTTTATCTGTTTTGCAGTCCATTGAACTAGAATGCAGTTTAACTGGATAGAGGGAATATCAGCATAGTTTCTTTCAAGCTTTTTGGTAATTCACCAAAGAAAACTAAACTTTTGCTTTCATCAGTGGAATTGTGGAAAGATATCCATCCACATCAGACAGTAGACCAAATAACACAGATCTGAATCCACATAAGAATGACACTGCACTCCAACTTTTCTTTAAGAGAAAAGATTCATTTCCTCATTAATGTACAGGCAATTCTTTCTTTCCCTTTTTTCCAATAAAGTAATTTGGAAAAATCCACTGGATTATATGGACAAGATTATCCCACAATTAGTATTCTTCCTTGTTTTAATCACCATTATCTGTTAAATATATTTGGCATGAATATAATGCGGTTTGCCTGGAAAATTACTCAATTCACGACTTCCAACGAATAAACCCCCCCAAAAAAAAAAAAAAAAAAAAAAAAAAACTGGAAATCCAAGCATAATTTTGAAAGACCCAGATCATGCAAAATCAGATTAACAACTGGAAAGAGATTTCTTACAGTGATGATATTGGGGTGTTTGAGGCGAAGCAACAACGCCACCTCCGAGGTGAACTGCTTCTCGAGAAACGCCGCCAAGTCGCCGTCCTCCTCAGGCTGGCTAATGAGCTTAATCGCCACATCTCTCTGCTTATAAATCCCTCTGTAAATCCTACTATGGCGCCCCGAGGCAAACTTATTCCCTATGTAGAGCTGCGACATGTCGGCGCTCCACTCCTCGCCGCCTTCCTCCTTTATCGCCGCGCCGGAGGAGACCAGATACTTGGACCACGACGCTGCTCGCTTGTACTCTCCCAGCGACAGCCGCCTCTCCAGCTTCCCATTGCTCGCCACAATTTGCTTAAACCAGTTCAAATTCTTCATACTATAAAGCACATCAAATTACACTAAATTCCTAGAAAAAACAACAAAAAAATTCAAAAATTGCTTAAATTACAACCGTTTTTCTTTTCCGCGCTTTAACAGTCTAGCTACATTTTGGAATTTCCTCTTCAAATCCGTACTTTACCGAGTTTTATGCATAGATACTTGAAAAATAGGTTTTAATCCAATGAAATGTGTCAGACCGAGCTTCCGCGCTTGAATTACTCGCTATATTATCACCACTATATATCAATATTTGTCTTTGGAGTGAAGAGAAATGAGAAAAGCGCGAGGTTGAGCAGCTGAAAGCCTGAAACTACGTCGTACGGGCAGCAGAGAGAGCTCCGGTGGGATGTACTGGGCGAGAAACGGGGAGGAGGAGCTGCGCATGGAGGAGGAGAGGTGGAGGGAGGAGGATCTGGAGACGGATGACGGAGGAGGAGCGGCGGCGGGAGGAGGATCTAGTTGTGGATACCGGAGGAGATGCGGCGGAGGAGCGCGGTGGCGGTGGAGCTAACGGTGGCTCTCTAATTTTATTTTATTGTGTGCGGAATAACATTACATTATACAGTGCTCTAACATTCATAACGTGCGAAGAACCACTTCGGAGGAGACATACCGGGGTATGATTGTGACATCTAACTTTTTCTGCCACATTTGCCCTTTCACTCTCATTCAAATATCTCAACTGCCATATCCCATTTTAAATCATTTTCCAACGTTGCAATTGTTGTAATGACCGAAATACACTTCACCTTGAAGAGAAGATCGTAACTCAACTCAGTTATAGTATTGTCAAAGTGGGCGAAACCAGATGATTACAACTCACCAAAAAGTGTGTGGTTTTTTTTTTTTTGGTAAATTTTCTTTTGTGTGTATTTCGATGCCAAACGAATTTTATTTATTATACAAAGTAGTATTTTATATTATATAGGAAAGGTTGAGTGACAAAAGAGAGAATGTTAAGATTTATATGTTAAATTCTAAGTTTTTTAGAAAATAAAATAAAAAAAACAACGGGCAAGAAGTGCAATGCATGCAAGAAAGAAGCGCAGTGGCTGTGTACAGTGCGATTGGAGTGGTCGCCAACTTGGGGATCACTCCAATTATTATATCATTTTACTTATTTTTAAAGTAAGTTTTTGTTTCATTTGTGTTTTCCTTTAACCAAAACACTAAAAAATCCTTCCAAAACTCAAACCACTGTCATGCCCTTACTATTATCCATATATATATTGCACTACATTTACAATGTATATTTATCATAGTTGAATAGACTATATTAATAATGACGAACTTAATGATTTTTTAAATATACATTCGCATTCTCAATTGATAGTTGTCAGTATATACTTTGCAATAAATCAAATTGTGTCACATCTAAGTTGCTCGTCACGTAACCATAAACCACCACTTATTGTATTTAAAATGTCATTAATTTTACTAAGTATGATATTAATTCTTATAAAACAATTTACAATTACAACAATCCTATGGATTTTATATTTTAATCCAAGGTTTCATTAACTAGTGCAAAAGAAGTGAAACGTTACTTTAATCACAAGGAGAAAGTGGAATTTGGAAGTGGCTTTATGAAGGACAAAATGGTGATTAGGGGAGGGAAGAGAGAGAGAAGTGGGAAGGGCAGAAAGGTAAAATAGAGAGGGGTGAGAGGTGCAACAGAAACACAAGGCTCCGGTTTGAGGCATATGAGTATGTGGGTGTGGGTGTGGGAGTGGGGGTTGGATCGCGTTGTAGCTAGGATGGCTTGTGGTCCCCACCTCCATTTTCTCTCTCTTCTCACTTCTCGGCGTCCGTGGTTGTGTCGGACATTGCCGTATACTTCTTCCGTATACGGTCCTCTTCTCTCTCTCTCTCTCTCTTTCTTGCAAACTTATTTTTATATAGTAATCAATTAATGATGTTAATAAAAAATGTCTTGGTTGATGAATACAGGAGTAACATTTTTAGTTAATTTTTAGATGTTTAACTTATTTGAGCTATTTGACTTAAAATAAGCATTTGGTAACTGTGAAGACATTGTGTTCTAGTGGCGTCGGGTGACAGATTCAGAAATTTGTTTCAGTGACGGCGAAAAATTAAAGCTAACGATTTATTTTGAAAAGAAAATAAAACACTTAGAAACCAAGTCATAAATATTGCTGACTAGAGATGAAAAAATCAAAATACATCAAGCATGTTTTTGTTGCATATTTGGTTCTGTCGATAAAATCTCTAACAATCTCTCATCTAGAGTTGCTATATTCTGCAAGAATGATTTTTAGTAACAATATTGTGTATTTAAATTTAAATGGATAATTTTTCTCGTAAATGGGAGGTGATGGGTTCAAGTCCCACTAGAGATGTAGTAGCTTGTATGTTTGAGTATATCTTTTTTTATTTTTTAGTTAAACGGCATAATCATAGTTCATCCACTTGGGAGGTCACATGTTCAAGTCAGTAGAATTTAAAGAGGAAACTACCCTTCATATCTTTACAGAATGTATCTATGCCAAGGCTGTTTGGAGTTTAAGTGGACTTCCTCTAATAACCCATGGTTTCAACAGCTTCGCACAATGGTTAGATTTTCAATTCAAGAACTTGGAAAAGGGTAGTTGTTGTCTGCTTTTGATGCTTTGTTGGAAATTATGGACTGCCCGCAATGACAAGGTTTGGAACGGTAGTCTACCATCTCCTAGCACTCTTGTTGAAGGATCACGCCGATATCTTGCCAACTGGACGAACATAGTTAGAGAAGACACTGCCACATCCATTGCCAAGAACTCATCAGTTCACAAATGGGATAAACCATCTTCAGGCTTCTACAAACTAAACACGGATGTAGCCGTTTCAACATTGAATAGAAGCATGGGCTTCGGGTGGGTGCTCAGGAATGACACTGGACAGTTTGTAGCAGCAGAATGCATCCCAGGTAAGGGCGTCTTCACCCCTAAGGAAGCGGAAGCAATGGCGATCAGGGAAGCCTTAAGCTGGATCAAGAGAGAGGGGATTACTCATCTTCAAATTGAATCTGATGCGTTAGAAATCATCCAAAGTTTGAAGCAGAATGACGAAGACTCTTCTTGTGATCTTATTCTTCTAGATATTAAAGATTTGCTACGTTCAATCCATCATGTAGCTATCTCTTACGTTAGCCGCACTGCGAATGTAGTTGCCCATAGCCTTGCTAGGGAAGCTTGTTCTATGTCTGTGCGTCAGGAGTGGATATCTGTTCCTCCTTCTTTTATTGTCAACGAGTTGTATTCCGATTTGAATTAATGAAATCTATTTTCCAAAAAAAAAAAAAAAGTCAGTAGAATTTAAAAAAAAAAATACTTTTCCTTTTACTTTTAGTATTATTATATAATTATATAAATTGCCAAAGCACTTTTTTACTTTCTAGTTGACTGAATCAGCACAAAGCTGAACGTATTTTTGACTCATACTCCACAAAATTATTATATCAACTGTGTGCTGTTTGACTAGCGGTCATGAGGGGCTAATTCATGTGCAACTACTTGGTATGGAGAATGATATTAAATAAAGGAAAAATATATATAATTTTAATTCCAATTAATTTTACTTTATAACAATTTTAATTTCAAAATTAATATTCAAATAATCACTTAAAAAGGAAAAATGCAATTATCTAATTATATATCACACAATTTCTTAAAACATATTCGCTTACTCCGAATGATGTTATAAATGAGTGTTGAAGTGCTTGTTTCTCGGTGTTTGGTAAATAATTATTAGCTGATTGGGTGAGTGAGTTTGACTACTTGATAGCATTAGCTGATTATAGAAAGATGTTTGGTAAATTAGTTGTTAGCTGATTATATACAAAATGGCTTTATCAAAAAGCTGCTTTAAGCAACTTTTTGAATTTTAGCATTTTAGAACAATAAGTCGTTACAAAAATTTAATTAATCAAACACTTATATTGGCTGTTTAACCAAGTCAAACAACTAATAGTGATCAAATAAGTCAAAATTGGTTAATAAGTTAACTATTTTGGAGCAAATTATTGTGTGGACTTGTGGTGGACCACGGTCCAAAATGACGTCGTTGAATATTATGAGTAAAAATAATATACATTATGTGTTAGAATAATGTACATTACGTGTTAAAATAATATACACTATGTGTTAGAATAATGTACCTTACGTGTTAAAATAATGCACATTACGTGTTAGAATAATGAATATTCTGGGGTAATATAATGTACATTATGTTTTAGAATAATGTACATTATGCTTGACCGGGTTGCCTAAGTCATGGTCAGACACCTGGGGCCTCGGCCATGGCCGTGGCATTCAGCCTGAGCTTGGTCAAGCCCTAGGCGGGGGTCTCGACTAGAGGCTTCGGCCGGCTAGCCCGGGGACCCAAGCGCTGTCACGGGTTGTTACAACCATCCCCTCCTTTTTAGGGGGGGCGATTAGGAGGCTTTTTAGTATAAATAGTCATGTATTTGTCCTTTTAAGACATGTTCACTTGTCTAATCAATTATTGTAATAGCATTACATTCAATCTGTTGTAATCATCCTACAACGTTATTACTAATACACTATTGTTCCCCGCGACATATCTTTATCCCGTTCATTTGTCATTTACTATATTATCCTTACTCTTTAATTATCAAATTTGATAATTCAGACCACCTGAATTAATTAAATCCATCAATTTCAGTATAATTTGGAAGGAAATACTAGTCTTTATGGTTCACAACATGCCATACAAAAATAATTTGTGCTAGAAGCGATACGTATGAGTTGGTACGGTATTGCAAGGTAGCAAGACATAGTTTAACACTAGTTAAGAAGTGAATTTTTTGGATTCCCACATAGCTTCTTCTTCCTTTTCCTCCCACATTGATAAGCCGTCAAAAATTTCAAATCCAATGAAATTCATCATTTGGAAAAGAAAGATGATGATAGATAGCACTTAGAAGAATAATAAATCAATAATTAATATAAAATCATTGAAAAATTACAGTTGACACGAAATCTCTTTATGAAAAAAGATGGATATTATCATACCCTCGCCAGCTATATCAACTCCTAAATTATAAAGTTTTCTTGTCGCTAATCTCATACTTTCAATTAATTAATTATCCTTGTGGGACCCAAGGTCCGTGTCATCTATCTATCTTATAAGCTTCTGCCCACTTGAGCTTCATTTCTTATTTTTAATTTTATACGCCTCTAATCGCCATTTGTCCCATACTATTATTAAGTTCTTGTGGCCAAGGGTTTACATGTGAATTATGGAAGTACGATTAGTAAAGATATATATTTAAGTTTTTATATTTATTTTTATTAATGTATAGACTTTTCTGTTGTCTAAGTGTATGTTTTTTCAATCAATCAATTAGGTTTTTTACTCGATCAAACATCGAGATTATTAATTATATACGTGCTGTACAAGATCTCAAGAGTGATAAATCACTCCCTTATGAGCTAAACTCTAGACCTTTGATTAAGTCGAGAGAAATTCACATCATTTCATCAACACTCTCATGAGTAATGTTCATGCTCTTTAGGTGTGGGCCAAATATATATTTGGCCAGGGTCAGGTGCGAAGGACTCTCCAGGTGAAAAATGCGCACAAATCTCAGTCATTAAATTCATCCAAATCTACTGCCCTTTAAAAAAAAATACATTTCGAATTAACAAAAATTGTGCACTTGAAAGCACAAAACATGCACTTGAAGACACAAAAATGTGTACCTGAAGGCCAAAATTCTGCACTCGAAGGAACAAAGATATGCAATCAAAGCAATTTATGGTATTGAAGTCCAAATTTTTAGACTCAAAGTTATAAAGATTTGAACTCAAAGGGAAAATTAAGTACTAAGACAAAACATATGCATTCGAATAAGGAAAATGTGCACTTGAAAAAGGAAAAATTATGCACTCAAAGAAAAATAATATCTAAACTTACCTATTCAAAATTACAATAATGCCACCGTGGCATTTTTGTATTATTCTTCATTTTGGGTTGCCAATTTTTCGTCCCCCTGCACGCAAGAAAGAGACTCTATACTATATAATTCAATAAGACTCTTGTATAAATAGTGGTGCAAACCCACTTCTCAAACCAATGTGGGACAAAAGCTCATTCTTTTCCACTTCATTTTTTCCAACTCAAATGGGTCTACTTTGAGAATCAATATCTCATTAATCCATTATCCGTTTTGAGCGTACAATATATCAATCTCTTCGTCTCACTACGAAGAACCCGAATCCACTTTGACCCAGTCCAAATCAAAAGTGGACCCCACTAATAATTGTACCACAAAATAGTTACTTAAAATTTCATTTTATGCTATTTTCCCAACATTTTGATTTGATTAACTCATTATAAAGTTGACAACTTTACATTTAATTTTTTTTGGTGATGAGGAAACCCTGTAATTACTATCCATGGGTATGCACTAGGTAAATTTAGTATTGTGACCCTAGCCGACAAAGGAGCTTGAGGGTGTGTACTAAGTAAACCTCGCCTTTGTGACTCTACCTGACAAAGGACCACAATGAGGTAAATCAATCTAGATCAGGTTATCTATTGCCGATCGGCTCAAACCAAGAAAACCATAGACCACTTCCACTGAGAGACGAATTTAAAACTTTATAGTTATCAAGTCAACTGTCCGACCAACTTGATCAGGGTTGCCCTTACTTTACATATAATTAATAAATATGGAAAAGTATGATTTTTTTCCAAGTTATATCATTTTATTTATTTTTTTACAAATAATGCTTTTCCTATTTTTCCTATTTTCCTATCATCACCTATCTATCAATCAATCCACTAAACCACAGGTGATCTCTATTTTTAAAATTTCAAATTGTCATGAACTTATTGATTCCGCTTTATAAAAAATAATTTCTCTTGATTGGAATGTAATTAAAGGACAAGATGTTGTACCTAATTCTATTTCGAATCAACAATATGTGGATATAAATAACAAATAAATTTGACTTTTCTAAAGCAAGTTGATGCGATGAATAACTCTCATGCATGATCCAAAAGTGGGAATTATTATTTTTAGACTACAAAACTGAGTCCCGAAGTAAATATAATTTATTAATTGAAAATGGAATCAGGTTTTAATTAATATAATATAATTAAAAAATGATTAAGAAAAAAAAAAAAAAAAGCAAATTAAAGTCGCTACAAGGTGTTTGGTGAATGGGACAATTAACTGTGACAGTTGTAGAGGAAATAATTGACATACCATGTGGGGGTGACATACGGTAAGGTACGGCCTTCTTTGTTGTCCCTTTATACCCCAAACAATAAACATTAGCTTTTGACGCGCAATGCGCGAGGAGTCATTGTCTCACATTTATATCTATCAATCTATCTATATTGCAAAATTTGATCAAATCTACCAAATCTTAATGAATCCTTCATCCTTGTTTTCGAAATTTGTTAATTCAAAATATATGTTAAATCACATGGAGTAAAGATATATGGGGATTGAATATTACTTAAATGTCACAGGTCCTTATGACAAAAAGAATTTTACTTTTGTGATCGATTGAGCTGTTTATAACTTTATGTGAGCAACTGTCACAAATTTTGTTGGGGTAGGACAGGACTCTGGAGTGAGGGATATGATTTTGTCTTTTGTGGGCGTGAATGTGACCAAATTTTAGGGTGCACAAAATGTGCAATAGTACATGGCCTCAACTTTTTTAGAAGGCTTAATATTTATTTTGACCTAGCTACTTAAATTTTTTTTAAAAAAAACTGCAATTAATCCTGAAACTCATTAGTATTTTCCAGAAATCACTTCTCTCTCCTAATAGTTAGGACCTAATTAATTGAGTATGCCGCATGTCAAAAACATTCTGTGCCCTGAATCTGTAGAGATAACTTAAAACTCGTACCATTCACCAGTTCACCACCAATACCGCCTCAGAAATTGATTTTTCCCCTAACAGATCATTCTACTTGCATTCCAAACGATAGCGGTAGCCCAGCAGGTAGCCACTAGCCAGGTAGTTTCAAGATTTTATTTTTTGGAACTTTGGGGATAGTAGGTTAGTAGGATTTTTATGGTTTAGTTTTAAAGATTACAATTATACTTTTGATAGCGCCTCATTTATTTACAGGAATAAGGCCACAAAAATCCAAAAAATGGCACTAAGCGTGAATATCACTCAATTTTACAGATTAAATGATTGACATATGAAGAAATGTTGGCGACTCTTTGATCAACTTGGTTGAGGCATGTTGGCGGGAGATGCTACGTGTTTGAAACACTCCTTTAAAAAAAATTAAATTCATAGATATTCAATTTATTAACGAGTTTTCGTTGGCAAAACATTTAAATTCATATTATATATATATATATATATATATATATATATATATATATATATATATATATATATATATAAAAGTTGTAATTATTATTGGAATGTGGTGCATGTCTATAGATAGCAAATAGAGTAGCAATGCTCTTGATAAAGCTTCCTTCTCGACTACTCGTGGTTTGGAAGTTTTTTATTGGCTACCTGCCTACCTTCCATTTTCAACAACTCTTTATGGAGGATTTTATGGGAGTTTAATTTTTATTTTTATTTTTGGCCAAGAAAGATCCTCGTGTGGAGTAAGTGATTGTTTTTAGGCCGTTCATCTCCTTTAAAGAAGAACTAGTGTTTTACTCGTGCGATACAAAAAAAAAAAAAAAATACGTTATCATTAATTTAAATAAAAGATTAGAAAAAAAATAAAAAGATGTGAAAATAATGTATGAAATAATAATATAGTTGTATTTCTCATATATTTGGACAAGTATATATTTTTATAGCATACAAAACTAAAATTAATATCTTGATATATAGGTAAGCTTAATGCATGGTTAACACCTCAAAGTAACACAAATATTGGTGTCAAACATTAAAATAATAGGTAGTAAATAGTAATGAAGAAGAATGTGAGCATTTGGTTTGCAAGCCCAAAGTGGACAGATATTTAGTGATATTTGCTGAGTCATTAAGTCACCGTTATTTACATCTTTTCAAATACTCTATCGAGTCGGAGTCTGAAAGTCTTGGGTTGAGAATTCAATCTTCTGGGAGGATGAGAATAACGTGAGTTGGTACCAAACTTTGATAATACACGTTCGATTTACGGTTGTTGGAATTGGAATTCTGATATGGAACTTTAGTTTCGTCTTAATGTCTTTGACATAAATTATTAGTTTGCTCAAATAGTCTTTTTCATAATTTATATGAAATATAATCCCCATCCATAATTCCTTAACCAATTTTTTTTTTTTTTAAAGAATATGTAGAGCATGTTGTATAGTAGAATATTATCGAATTGAATTCTTGTAATCACTAGTTGATAAAAGAAAGTCAAATAATTTGTGAAACTATGAATGTCATTATATATAAAGGTAGTATGTAAATGCATTTAGGATTCGTTTAGAAATTTGAATATTTTTTAAAAAAAAAAATAAATTAAACAGTCATTTTTAGTGCAATTAGGTCACTGAATAAAAAAAAGTGCAATTAGGTCACTGAGCACTTCAAAAAGTGCAATTAAGCCACTGAACACTCTAAATGTATGCAATTTCACCAGATAGCAGGTTACCATCAATTTTAGTAGGTTACTTGCTTACGTGGCAGCTGAGTTGGCATTTTTAATAATTTTTAAATAATTTTTAATAAATTTTAATAATAAATTTTTTAAAAAATTGAAAAAAAAAACTAAATAAAAAAATAAAGTATTATTACAATTTATTAAAAATTATTAAAAATGCCAACTCAGCTGCCACGTAAGCAGGTAACCTGCTATCATGTGAAATTTCATACATTTGGAGTGTTCAGTGGCCTAATTGCACTTTTTTTCGTTCAATGACCTAATTGCATTTTCAGGTTACATTCAGTGACCAATTTAAACCTTATTTCATATAATTTTGTAGAATTCATGGCGGAACATTTGAAAGTTTGAGATGGAGTTAATTGTATGATATGATTATTGTTGAGCTGGATAGTCCCTCTTTTTCCTTCGATTGTGGAGCATTTTAGTGTAGAAGAAGATGAGTGATAAATGGCCATTCATTATATCTTAAAAACTTCTCACCAAAAAATTATATCTTACAAACTTCCATGATGAAATAATGGTCGTTACGTTGATAGGGATTTAAATGATGGATAATTTATACCTCCATTTATTTCCTAAGGTATATTTTTTGTGACTCTCCAACTAGTTTTACTTTTGAGTACTAATATTAGTGACTCTCCAACTAGTTTTACTAGATGAGTTTTGTAAATAGCGCCACAAATCTATCTTTCGAGTTATCCATATAATTGGACTCACTAAAACTCAACCACAATTTTTTTCTCAAAAAAAAAAAAAAAAACCTCAACCACAATTTATTACTCTGCAAATTATTCTGTGGACCAGGATCTACCTGGTAAGATAGACACAATCTAAGAATACACAATTTACATACTTAATGTTCACAATTTATATGCACAATTTTCATATTAAATGTTCACAATTCAAATTGTAAGCATTCGGACATTCGGTATGTAAATTGTATATTTTAGACATGGATCCACCTTGCAAGGTGGACCCGAGTCTATGGTATAACTAATGTTATTACTCCATATATCCCATTAATTAACTTTTTTTTCTTTTTTTTAAAAGGAAAATAGTCAAATAGGCCCTCGAAATTTATCTGAAAAGTCAATTAGGCTTCTAAACTTTTTAAAGTTGCAATCAAACTCATCAACAGTTTATTTTGGTACAATAAAGCCCAAAAATCGGTTAGTAATCTGTGATAGCATGTCACTAGTGTTTCGGCAACACTCCGGTCACCATGGTCAACTGAGAAGGCAACCACTGGTCGCCTTCTTCAATGTGCCGAAGTAGACTAGAGTGTCGCCACTCGCCAGAGAGTTGTCAAAACCCTAGTAACCTACTATTACATATAACTAACTAGTTTTTGGGTTTTATTGCACCAAAATAAAATGTTGATAGGTTTGATTGTAACTTTAAAAAGTTTAGGGACCTAACTGATTTTTCATGTAAAGTTTGAGGGCTTATTTGACTCTTCTCCCTATTTTTAAAAATTATTTTTAATTTGTTTTTTTTGTTTAATATTATTTTTAATTTTTTCTAAACATAGAAATTTTTATATACCAATATTGAACTTAATATTATAAAAAAATTGAATTAAAAATAACTTCAATCAAATCTCGTCAACTAAATCATACACATAAAATAGGACGATGAGAATACTTAAATACGAATTGAGCTATCCGTGTGGATGGCCCACTAAAACTCATTAGCCCGGTGAGTTGCCCATCAATTATTATTGTATGGATCATGGTCCACACAAGTTGTGTGGACCATATTTTGTCTACTGTCAAATAATATATATTCAATACAAAAATAATGTATTTTCAATACAATAATAATGTACATTTAGTATATTAAAAATGTACTTTTTGTTATGGTCCATATAACATTGTATGGACCATGGTCCACGCCGTTGCCATCCCTAGGACCATGTTCTAACATGAATCCTCCCATATATATTGTTTTTATCTTAAGCAATTTTTGTAGTATGTGATTTAGTTTTTGTATAATTAAAAGTAAAGAGCAGAACTTCAAGTCCAAATAGTATTTTCTCTTTTGTAAGGACGACCATAATTGTTCATTAAGGAAACTACTTACATTTTTTTTTTTATATATTAATATTTTAATAAATATTTCAATTTGTTAGCTAGCTTATTGGATTTGATTTAAAATTAGAATAAGTTGTTTAATCTGAACATTTTGATTTTATTTAATTATTATTATTATTCTATTTTTAATAGTGCAGAGACTATATTAGAATAAGTTACTTAATCTGAGCATTTTATAGTAGTATAGAGACTAATTGATTACTTAAACCAAATACAATAGATGACACAAATTTAAACGTAATAATGTATATAAGCATGATTTTGATTGGAACTTTAATATATTACATTTATTTTTATTATGCTTTAATCTATCACTATAGCTGTACAGCTCTGGGGAAGGGATTTACTATAGATGAACTTTATGCAGCGATTTAAAAAAAAAAAAAAAAAAAAAAAAAAAACATAGAAACAAGAAAAGAAAAATAAAAAGTGCAAATATATTGAACATTGATGCTGGCAGAATGAAGGATCAAGCTGAGCGGTTGCAGAGATTGTAACCAGATACAAGAGAGCTCAAGGCGAAGGCAAGAAAAGCTAGGAAGGACATGGCGATGGAAGCAGTCGCCATTTCTGTGAACTCATCACTCCCCCAGTTGGATACCCAATCATCTACCCTTGTTGCAGAAGAAGATGATGCCGACATCAAAAGATATGCCAAAATCTGCATGTTCATAGTGTATGCAATTAGTTTCTGCAAATCTCACAACTTTTGTACACAAAGAAACAAGCCGGTTCTATGATATCTAATATGTTGGGATTGCGGCTTGGAGGGACGAGATCAGCATCAATGGTTAATGTCCACCTACTTATCACTAATTGGTTTTAAGAAGGATACGACAATCAGATAACCAAAGAACTAGATGGGTGGCTTACTAGGAAGTAAACATAGTGCAGTGCTGAGATCCAACATAATATATAGTGTCTAAATACTGCCCTCAAGGAGTTGTATCATTATACTAAAGAGCACATAACAATAAAGTTTATCTAAAAGCACTATTGTTCTCAAAGACATTCTTTTCCAATTATAAATTTATTAGCGCTAACACATTCTTCTAAATTGGAAAGTTGAAAGAAAGCAAGTCTAGGAAAGGTTTTGGATGGTGGTTTATGATTCACAGATTCCCTGTGAAGAATGTTGCAATAACATGGGTAAAGAAACTCAAATACAAGCACAATAACAAAATGAACAGGGAAGATAAATAATAGCACTTGTGCTCGATACTTCAAGTCACTTGATGAAATCGTCAAGAAAGAAAAAGATAGCTATATCAAATTTATCAATGCTTATGGAAGAAAGCAAACTCCTAAGCGGGACATCAATTTCAAATTACAGAAAAAGCTTTGGAGAATTGCCAACTTTAATAAACATCTATTAATCTATTATATTGTTTCTCCAAACCAGTAGCTAAATTAGGTGACGGAGGGGAAAAATCTTTCATTTCATGTACTTCTTACCCTATGTACTACTGTACTAGTAAGGAAAACACTTAGAATTATAAGTTGACCGGAAAAAAAAAATCATTTCTTTTGGGAGGGATAGATAGATATACAGATGTTTTGATAAAGCAAACTTGCCTGATCCATGGCAAAATCAAAATGACGACGCAGGTGGTGAGAGATGAAGTGTTTCTCAGTGGCCAAATAGTAGGATAAATCAAAGGCTTGAAATCCAGCATATACAAATCCAATAACATTCATTGCTAAACAATACCTGTGCCAGCCATGAGATTCAATGTTACTAAAGAATACCGGGAAAATTAAACCAAGTGTAGGGAGATTAAACACAAGAACGAAAAAGCAATCAAGAATTAGATTAAAAAAGATTCGTATCAACACTCTAAGAAGTATGGTAGCAAGTCTAATGAGAAAAGAGTTAATACCATCCAGGGTCCTCCGAGTATAGTAGTTTTGCCACGTTTAGTCCTAAACTTTCAAGTTAACGGTTAACCGTCCATGGTCCTTCAAATTTAGGACTAAACGTGGCAAAACCACTACAACCGGAGGACCACATATGGTATTAACTCAATGAGAAAAACAAGAAAACGGATAGCCACATTAGCAAAAGACATTAGTGCATGATGCAATAGAGATAATAGACCACGAATATGCCCTGTATCATTGGATGGTATACAGTAAGATATCATTATCGACCCATTAAGATTGTATTCCTGCCAATGTTTCTACATACCCCTGATCAAATTCATCGCCATAAATGCAAATCGCAATCAAGGTGAATGCAATATAGGCAAACGAAGCCCCATAAATGGCATATAATTATATTGGAATTACAGGGGCACACAAATTTGAGTCTAATTCTTCAATATCTAAATTAAGTATTCAACAATTTAAACAAAGTATCAACCTAGTATCCATTGCTTGACATAATCAAAGAGCTTAATCTCAAACTTATAAGATTGTAGATCAGTCTTTACAAGCAGATTAGTCGATCATTTAAATAAGATTAAGATCCTTTTAATTCTTGATCATAAATTTCCATTGAAGAAGAAGAAGAATTGGATGGAATATAAGATTTAAACCTGTATTCTTTGTATCGATCCCAGGAGTCTCCACTCCAGCCTTGAGTTTTATCAGCAGCCATAACCGAGAAGGAAATCAAGCAGAAAATCACCTCACAAACCCTAAACCCTAACGCTGCCTTAGTAACCGCCACCGCCATCGTCGAAGGCCGGATAACCGACGCCCTGGCCCAACGCTCACCATCCTCCAAGTCCCCACGATGCCGAGCCGGCCGCACCTTCGTGGCCGCGGGCTCTCCGGCCGCCCGATTGTAGTACACCTGCGGCGGCGACTTGTCCACGGCAGCAGGCGGTGGGGGAGTGTGAGGCGCCCTGAGGTGCTCCGACGACGACGGCTTCCGCGGCGAATAGAGGGGAGAGGAGGGCTTATCTGCTGCAACAACCGCCTTAGACAGGGGCAGCGGAGACGGCGGAGACTTGGGGTTCGGGTCCGGAAATGGCTCGTCGGAGCGGAGAGGCGAGTCGGATCGGAGAGGCGAATGGAAGGAGTCGATTTGACTAACTTGTGACTCGGTGTCAGACATGGATATGTGGCTGCTCTGCTTCCCGAGCTTCTTCTGGTTGTAATGGTGAACTGAATTCGAATTGGGGCTCGGAATTTCCTTCTCCATTTTGCGACTAATTTCGCCGGAGATTTCCGCCGGTGAACTTTCTCGGCAATGGTGGGAGCCTATAAAGAGAAGACGAGGCTATACATATTCGAGTTTTCAAGTTTGAACTACGGGCTGAGAAATTTCCAGCTATGAGTGGGATTACAGTCATTTGCTACGAACACTAATAGCACCACGACACGTGGTAGAACAAAATATTTGGATGACGTGGCTAGTCATGATTTGCTAGGCTCATAAGATTATTGTGATATAAAGAGCATTTGATTTCAGCTCGAATTGAATTCTTTTTGAATTTTTACGTGAGGTAAATTTGGAGTGATTCCTTGCGTGCGTCCATCTCCCCTCTTACGACGTCGTATCAACATAAAAAAAAAATGAAAGCAAACAATATTCCAAATTTTATTACTCCGTTTTGTTTGTTTTTTTTTTTTTTGGTACAATAGAGGTCGTAAGCGCCTTATCTAACTCTAGCCGTCCAAACTCCATTGGCGTTAACCGTGACGAGATGAATCATATTCCAAATTTTATTACTCTGTATTTTGTATTCTTAAACAACCAACTTTTAATGAGGGAGGAAAAAAAATTTAAAAAGAAAAAGAAAATAAGTTTTCAAAAAAAAAAAAAAAAAAAAAAACTATTGTTTAACGCGTCCCATGGGTGCATGGAGTGCACGCGTCACGCTGGGTGCTGTTGTGCAACGGCTGCACGCTTTTCAAGGCAAATTTCTTTTTTTTTTCTCTTTTTTTTTTTTTTTGACGGGTCCAACTTTAGAGACAAAAAGTAAGTTCTTAAGTAAGGACCTCATAATCTTCTCTCTCATCTTTTTCTCTCTTCTGCTACTTTAGCAAAAACTTCCTCAAAAACTCTACTTAGGTTGCTCTAAACAATATAGACTGCAGAGTTTTAAATAAACCAATATTTTACTTTGTATCAAGTGTCGTATATAATTGTTTCATATTAACTAATTATTCGTTAATTAATTAATTGTAGTATAATTTATTTATGTAATGTAATATCTCGCTAAACAGTAAAATAATATATTTTTTCTGTTGAATGTAGCATTATATTGTTGTATACTAAAACCCTAGGATTAGAGATCCTTAACCCTAATGTTGGTACTACCCTTTCTTATATTCCAAAAGTTATAAGCTTCACATGGGACGATGCGATTGGATGGTTGGTCTTGGGAATGCGTAGGAGATCCATTAACTTTTAGCTAAATCTTTTGTGCAATTATTATTATTATTTTTTAATATAGTATATAAAATAAAATAATATACTTTTAGCACTCAAATAATGTATTTTTAAACAATTTAGTTTATATACATAAATAATATACTTTTTATTTGTGATCCACACAAGTATAATAATGACGGGAATGAATGAACTCACAACACATTTCCACCATATTAATTAATTGCTAGTGAGATTTGCTTAATTGAAAGAAAGTAGAGGTACATCATCCACGTACCACACCCTCACCCTTCTCTACCCATAGTTATGATTACATTCATGATTACGGAGTACAATAATAACAATATTCTTTTTGCACAAAATTCTATGTTTCCTCTATTTCTTATCCACTTATGTCAATATAATCTAGTTACATGCACTTAGGATTAGAAATTATTTATATGGTCTATATAAACTCCAATTATGAACCCATTTATTGTTGGAAAAATTAGCTTAAAATGGCATAAAATGGCATATTAAGTGGCTATTTTGTGGTACAATTATCAGTGGGGTCCACTTCCGATTTGGGTCGGGTCAAAGTGGATTCGGATTCTTCGTAGTAAGACGAAGAGATTGATATATTGTACGCTCAAAACGGATAATGGGTGAATGAGATATTGATTCTCAAAGTAGACCCATTTAAGTTGGGAAATGAAGGGAAAATGTAGGACTTTGTCCCACGTTGGTTTGGAAACAAGATTTGCCCCCCTTATATACATGAGCTCTTTTCAAGCTTGTAGAATTGTATAGCATAGAGGCTCTCTCGCGCGCGGGGGGGGGGGGGGGGGGGGGGTGCAAATCAAAATCCAACTAGAGGACCTTCAAAAGGCTTGAAATCAAGCCCGAGCTCGCGTGCGCCGGCACCTGCGGGCCTACGGAATTAATACTGTTTACTTAGTGGTGACCGTTACAGGTGTTACACAATTGGTTTTAACACCAATTTAATGGCCATGTTGAATGCTATCACTCCAACATCCCTATATAAAGAGAGGTAGAAGCAGTAGCATTTTACACAGTGAGAAACAAGGGAATTCCAGTAACTTTTCATCTCAAAACTTCTGCTTCTACTCTCTTCTTTAGCCAATCTGTGTTCCAGCTTTGCTTTGTTTGCCGGGTTCCTTGTTTAGGTGCTTAAACAAGGAATCGTAGCACGTTTTATCCTGGGAAACCTAGGCTACAACGCTCCTAGCACTTGTGGGAGGTAGCAAATAAGGTTTTAAGGAAAAGAACTTCGTGTTCGAACTCGTGCTAAATCCCTACCCAAACACTCAACCTTTTCCTTCCCAATTTTCTGTTTTCCCATATAATATTAATCTTTCTGTAGGATTATTATTATTTTGGGATATTCAACCATATTACCCAACAATCTTAAAACCTTATATCCGTTTCCCGTTGGTTGTTTATCTCTAATTTCCTAGAAGAAATGGAGAATCCAGTTTTGCCAGCTCTCGGGGAGGAGAATGTTGTTGAGAACAACAGTGGTGGGAATGACAATAATGTTGCTAATTCCCAGGCTACACCAGTGAACGTTGGTTCACAAGATGGTGGGAGCACCGAGGGATATATTCCCATGACTCGGGTACCTACGGTACCGAGTGGTTCGGCCGAAAGACCGGAGAAGTTCACCGGTAGTGGATCGAACTTCAAGAGGTGGCAGCAAAAGATGCTGTTCTACCTGGCAACTCTCGGCTTGGCGAGATTCTTGACCGAGAAGGTTCCCGAACTAAGGGAACAGGATGCCCAATCCGTGATGGCAGTTGGCTATTGGAAGGATTCAGACTTCCTATGCCGAAACTACATCCTAAATGGATTGTGTGATGCGTTATACGATGTATATCGCAAGATTGGCACAGCGAAAGCGCTGTGGGAAGCTTTGGATCATAAATACCGAAGTGAGGATGCCGGCGCAAAGAAATTTGTGGTTGGCCGATTCCTTGACTTCAAAATGGTTGATTCCAAAACCGTGCTAAGTCAGGTTGAAGATTTACAACTAATCTTTGATGAAATCCGTGACGAAGGCATGACGTTGAGTGAAGCCTTCCTAGTGGGATCTGTTATCCACTTGCTGCCTCCAGGGTGGAAGAACTTCAAGAATTACCTTAAGCATAAGCGAAAGGAAATGAACCTGGAGGACCTGATCCAGCGACTCCGAATTGAGGAGGGGAACAGGACGAATGATGGAAGAAATTCTGTCACTATTGGTGCTAAAGCCAATGTTGTGGAGCATGCTAAAAACTCCAAGAAGAACAAGAAGGACAAGCAAAAGCTAGGTCCGAAAGGAGGCATTACCAAGAAGAAATTTCATGGAAAATGCTTCAATTGTGGCAAGACTGGCCACAAGTCCTCTGAGTGCAAAGTTCCAAAGAAGAAGAACAAGAGTTCTGAAGCCAACATGGTTGAGGAAAGCAATCAGAAGGAGGTCGAGATTAGCCTTTCGGCTATGGTGACCGAGGTGAACCTCGTGGACTCTAACCCACGAGAGTGGTTCATCGACACTGGTGCAACAAGGCACTTGTGTTGCAACCGAGAAATGTTCAACACCTTTGAGACCGTTGAGGGCGAGAAGGTTTGGATGGGAAACTCTGCTCAGTCTGCTGTGGAAGGCGTGGGCAAGGTGGTTCTGAAGATGACTTTCGGGAAGGAACTGACGTTGAACAACGTGCTGTATGTTCCAGAGCTGAGGAAGAATCTGGTGTCTGGCTCACTGTTGAACAAGCATGGCTTTCGCATGGTGTTCGAGTCAGACAAGGTTGTTTTGTCTAAGTTAGGAATGTTTGTAGGCAAAGGTTATGTAACTGATGGGCTTTTTAAGCTCAATGTAATGCCTATTATCATGAATAAGAGCAAAGTTACTTCCGTTTACTTGCTTGAGTCTTCCAATTTGTGGCATGGTAGACTAGGTCACGTTAATTATAATTCTATACGTAGATTAATTAACATGGACCATATTCCTAATTTTCAAATTAACACAAATAACAAATGTGAAATTTGTGTTGAGGCAAAATTAACGAAAGTACCTTTCAAATCGGTTGAAAGGGAAACTGAACCACTAGAATTAATCCATAGTGATTTGTGCGATTTTAGATCGATACAAACGAGAGGTGGTAATAAATATTTTATCACGTTCATCGACGATAGCACACGTTATTGCTATGTGTATTTGCTTAAAAGCAAAGACGAAGCCTTGGAAAAATTCATTCTTTATAAGAATGAAGTTGAAAACCAACTTAATTGTAAGATTAAGAAAGTTAAAAGCGATCGAGGTGGTGAGTACGAAGCACCTATTGGTGACTTCTGTGCGAGTGTAGGTATAATACACGAGCGTACTGCACCTTACTCACCTCAATCGAACGGTGTTGCCGAGCGAAAGAATCGTACATTGAAAGATATGATGAATGCGATGCTTATAAGTTCGGGCCTACCTCAAGACGCGTGGGGTGAAGCTATTTTGACAAGTAATTACCTTTTAAATAAGGTACCCCACAAGAAGCTCGATAAGACTCCTTATGAGCTGTGGAACGGTAGGAAACCTTCCTACTAGTACCTGAAAGTGTGGGGGTGTCTTGCCAAAGTTTTGGTGCCAACACCTAAGAAAGTAAAGATAGGTCCTAAGACAGTGGACTATATCTTTATTGGCTAGGCACATAATAGTAGTGCTTATCGGTTCTTAGTACACGAGTCCCATAATCCGGACGTACACGAGAACACGATAATAGAATCAAGGAATGCATCTTTCTTTGAAAATGTATTTCCTTGTAGGTCCAATGAGGGACCAAGTTCGTCAAAACGAACATTTGACGAAGCTATGGATAATGATAGTGGGGAATCCGAGAGAGAACCCGAGCTCGAGCCAAGACGCAGT